CTGGAAAAATGATCTAGATTGACTCTGGGGGATCCCAAAACTCAGTGGCCACTGTTAGGATCTTGGAACAAAGACCAAGTGGACGTCTTAAAAGACAAACTTGGCCTTCCCAAAACTGAATTGGCTAGAGGAGAGGTAGATTGCTTCATGCAGTGGTGGGACGAGGCAAATCTTAGATGGACTGAATCGAAGCTCGCCTCCCTTAAAAATTCTAATTACAAGTAAAAAGCTTTATTGGAAACCTCCTCTCCCACCACCAGAACGAGTGCTTCCCTTTACCCCGTCCTCCAAGAAGACTCAGACTGGTCCCACTTGGAGCTATAAACCCTGGACTCACACGGAGCTCCACTCAATTGTAAAAGGTTTTCCAAAGCCCCAGGAAAACCCTACTAAGTTTGCAGCGGAATTTTTGCTAGTGTGCAATGCCTATGAACCCTCTGAAGCAGACCTCCTGCAACTGTGTAAGCTACTTATAACCCCTAGCGAGCAAGAAAAAAAAATGGCTCCTGAGAGCAAATTGGCCCACCACTGAGCATCCTTCTAATTTGCCAGACACTGGTCCTGACGCTGCTTACTGGAACAAATGTAAGAATCAAGCTAAGTGCCTGCATGAGGCCATTCCCCAAGTATGGACTCCAAAAACCAACTGGACGGCCATACATTGCTGTAAACAGCAACAGAGAGAAAACCCGGGCAACTATCACACCAGACTGACTGATGGGGTTTTTTCTGCAACATTCTGGTATACAGTGACTGGGTGAAAATGGACAGGGCGCCCTGGCGCATGCATTTGTTAATGGCCTCCTACCTGCTATTAGTAGTATGTTAAAGCAAATAAGTGTTGGCTGGGAGGCCAAGACCATGGACAAATTGCTGTGGCGCCGGGGCAAGCCCAGCACCCATAGTGGAGCACCTGCGGGGACACCACCTCGAAGAACGACAGTTACTGCACTGGAGGTGAGTAACTTCGCTTTATTCAGGGCAGGGCAGACAGTACCGGGAACGGGGAGGGTACCAAGAACGGGAATGAGGTCAGAGAAGGGGTTGTGGGACTGGGTTTTTGGGATTTAGAGGTTTCAGCTCCGGTCATGTCCATCCTGCGGGAACAAGTCATTATGTCCTGTGTTCCAGAGCCGTAACACCCCTATCCTCCCAGTTTGAAAGGCTGATGGGAAATCATGGCTGTTTGTTTAGGATCCTTGAGCCATTAACCACATTGTGGTACCCACCTTTCCTGTAGTCCCTAACCCAGCAACTATTCTGGCTTCTATCCCGCTTTAGGGTTACATAACTACTGTAAGCCTTTTACTCTTTTCTGCCACGAGCTATCTGGTTGTGCACTTGGGTTTCTTACTCAGGAGCATGGTGACAAAAATCGTCCAGTGGCTTATTTCTCTGCCACCTTGGATCCAGTTGCCCAGGGTTTACCCCCCTGCCTGCGTGCTGTGGCTGCTGCGGCACGTCTAGTCTAAATGTCTGAGTCCCTTGTCCTCCGCTCTCCTGTTTCTCTCATGGTTCCTCACTCTGTAGAAACTCTCCTGCTACAACGTAATACAGCTCACCTTTCCTCCACCCGCCTCACTAGGTACGAACTTTTACTGCTTTTGGCTTTGCATATCACCATAAAGCGCTGTTCTCAGTTGAACCCTGCCACTCTCTTTCCTCTGTCCAATGAAGGCGAACCCCACGACTGCCTAGCAACTGTCTCTGCTGTCACCTTCCCGCGCCCTGACCTTTCTGATGTCCCTCTCTCTAACTCCGACCTAGTGTTATTCACTCACTCAGGACCACGCAGAGTCAATTTTGACTCCAGAAGAAGATGTAGAGGAACAGCCTGCAATACCTTACAACCTACATTTGCGTAAGGGTTGCCTGAAGCAGATGATGACCACAAGGAAGGCCCAAGAAGAAGCAGTAGTGAGCCTAGCGCCTGCTGCCTAGTGGACATAAAACCGTGACTGCGGTTCCCTCAGCTGAGGTTGTCAGAACCAAAAGGGTCTTGACTCCAACATGTGCCTCTGGTGGGGCCTGTTCCTCGGCCACTGGTGACTTAAGTCTGAGGAATCCACAATGACAATGACAATTCTTTTATCCACCAGCAAGTATGGATCGCTCAGACCCTTAATATCTCTCATTGCTGGGTCGGCAGCCACATCCCAGCCCACTCACAAGCTGGTTCCTGTCTTGGCAATCCCACTTAATTCCCCAGGCCTCACTGGAGGACCTCATCCATTTAACAAGACATGGAACAGTAATGACACTTGGGAAGCAGTGGGAATAAATGTATCTAAATGGATAAGTGTGGAGGAGGGAAAAGGTCACTGGTGTTGGGTGTGTAATGGGACGGGGCTGAATCTGGGGAGGAGCAGTTGTCTCCAGCGTATTGTAACCAATGGTGTATGGGATTATTCAGACAAGATTGGAGAATGGCGGACTGGGTATGGGGATATGAATTTTTTTTCTCAACCTGGGATCAAACAGGGAAATCACTCTCATGCTCCCCCTACAGCCACCCTAGTGAGAACAGTACAATCTTTCAATGCCATGCAAATAACACCACTCCCCATAAGGAGAATCACTGTGTGCCCTTCGGGGGATATTACTCCTCCTTTGTAGACACCTATATGGCAAAGGGGGTGCAACTGACCCTTCCCGGCTTTGATAGGGCATCATTGGGTCTGCGGGACAAAAGCCTATACTGCATTACCAGTTAACTGGTCAGGTATCTGTTATCCCGCCCAACTCTTCCCACAATTCCGAGTGTTAGAGTCCTTCCCACGAGAACTCCTCCGTAATTTTAGGCGAAAAAGAAGGGACTTGTCAGATGCCCAATGGTATGTGAATCACATAATCCCCTTAACTTGGGAAGAGGCTATTGGTGGTTCCTTTATCCCATTTGGGGAAGTAATACATCATGCAAAAAGGCTTCTGAGGTTACAAGCAGTAGTTGAAATCCTGGCAAATGAAACTGGTGAAAGTTTAAGGGCCCTGGCCAAAGAAACAGGAGCGATCCGACAGGTGGCCATCCAAAACTGTCAGGCATAGGATATAGTTCTGGCAGCAAAAGGAGGGACCTGTGCTCTCATTGGCAAAGAATGTTGTGTATATATACCTGACAACACCAATGATGTAATAGATGGCGCTAGCCATTTGGAACAGATTGCATACCTTCCCACGAAGAGCCAAGTTCCCCGTGGAAATGGCTAAGTAACTTGTCCAATTTCTCTGGCATAGGAAACTGGTTGTTTCAGGGAGCCCTGACTATTCTATTTGGGATCTTAATGATTTTTGTATGTTTTCAGTTAATCTGTTGGATCCAAAACTGTGCAAGACATGTCACACAGCTAGCTACCCCTCACCAGAGTGCTAATCTGATGATTTTAAATATCACTGATGAACAGAGAGACAAAGAACGGTTAATGTGTGGAACCCAGTAATTGTTGGTCATAGGCGTGGCTTGACCAAAAGGAGGGATTGTGAAAGTAAAAAGAATTTTACTGTAAGAGAAAGATGAATTATGCTGTAATAATTGAATAAATTGAAGGAATACTGTTTGTCTCTGAACAGGAAGAAGAAAAGTATGTTAATGTTGTTTGTGGGTATGCAGATCAGAGTGCTAGCCAGCGGGCCTGAGTTAATAGGAGAAGGAACATCAGGTGTTAGGGAGAAAGCAATTGAGATAACTAGGGAGATATGGACAGGAGATTGCTGTGTGCTTGATGTGGAAATGAAGATACTTGACTAGCCTCACACTAATCATGTGAAGTTTTGCCCCTCTTTTAATCCTGTTAACTTGGCTTTCTTTTTACTGTATAAATGAGTGTTTCCGAATTTTATTTGGCCATGGAACCCCTAGAGTTGCCTTTAAAAAAAAGGTTCCTGCCACATTTTGTTGAGCAAAAAAAAAAGCCCTTGCCAAGGCTTTGTCTCTTTAACAGGGGGTGGGGGAGTGCCGGCTCTTCACGGAACCCTTGCTTTCGCTTTGCGGATCCCCAGGGTTCCCCGGAGCACCAATTGGGAAACACTGGCTAAATCAAGGAGTTTGAACCTTGCGGGGTGCTCACATTTTCTGGGTGCATTTAGCAGAGCGGCATTGCTAATAAACAGAGTGGTCTGACAAATCTGTGAGTCCTGTCTGACTTTGACAGTGGGGAGGGAGGGACAGTTTGCGTTCTGGGGGTCATTCCTCCCTCCTCAACATAAGGCCTTGTGTGGTTGTTTGTGCGGAGGGAGGGAAGAGGCCAGATTCTCATCCCTTCTCCCTGGCTGCTCCCACCACAGAACTCTGGGATGTTTCATTGGTTTCCTAGCATGGGCTGGTCAGTATCCCCTCCCCATGGCACCACCCCAGAATGGAGATGGGGACCCGGAGCCTCTGGCTCCTGGCTATGGCTCTGGGGAAGCTGTGGCCAGTTGTTTCCAACCGGGATCTGGCTGGTTGCCTCTGTTGTTAGCCCTCAGGCAGGATTCCCGGCCACTGAGCTGTTGCTATTGGGCAGGGATTTGATGCGTCCCCAAGCCTGAGCTAAGGAATATGGACTCGGATTTGCTGGTTGATTTCATATCACACTTCGGAGAGATGCTGCAGACTGGGAGACCAAAGAAACTGCCCTAAACCCAGCGCAGCATCTTTCCCAGCACCCTGAGGTTTCACCTCTACATCTTCCCCTTCCAGGAGAAGGGCTGCAGGTCGTAGTCCCGGCTCTGAGCCCCCCTGCTCTTTCCCACTGGGCCGCACTTCTCTCTCAGAGCTGGGCACAGAACCCAGGAGTCCTGGCTCCGGCAAGGTGCAGCAGCCCGCTGGGGACACACCAGGCCTTATTTTGGACATGCTGGCTGACACCTTGCGCGAGGCAGGAGGAAGTGATGATTGCGTCCCTCAGTCTCTGTGTAAATTTCCAAGGAGACGGACCGGGGGTTTCCTGAGTTGCAACCGCAGACACAACATAACCAGCCAGCTGGGCTGCAGAGCGTTCACTGCCCAGCTGGCTCGCAAGAGAGCAGCTCTTCCCTGATACGTCCCAGGCTGGGCTCCTGAGTTCCAGCCCCACTGCAGGATTCCTGTGTGCTGGCTGCGGGGAGAAGGTGAGGATGGACTCTTTGGCTGCCTGGACCATGGGTCATATGGATGGCAGAGGGGTTAGAGGGCAGAACAAAGCATAGCAGTGTGGGGTTTGATCCCCAGCTTGGGAAAGGAGTATGGTCTATAAGTTGGAGTGGGGAGTCGATTCTGAGTTGTCTCACTTGTGCATGGAGGCAGGACAGGCTGGGCTCTTTTATCCTCATGTAGAGGTAAACGGTGCCTTCTGGTTTAAGCCAGGAGTCCTGGGTTCTGTTCCCAGCACCGTTGGGCGCGTGTTTGCTGTTACCAATCATGCCCTGGCCTTCATGAAAAGCACAATTCTGCTTATACACAACTCAAAGACAAAGAAGCAACAAAGCAAAAGGGTTATTCATGCATCATCAGACATGGGATTCCAGCTCCACATGTGGGAAATGAGTGGAGTTCAGTGGTTAAACCATGGGGCTGGGATTCAGGATTCTGTGATTCTAGCCAACCTCTGGGAGGGCTGTGAGGTCTAGTGGTCAGTTCAGGGAGTCAGGCGTCCTCCCCAGCATAGCCATCCCATTTGAAAATGATTTGGGGGTCGAGCACATGACTTATGAGGAGCAGCTGAGAGATTTGGGCTTGTTTAGTCTGCAGAAGAATGAGGGGGGATTTGATAGCAGCCCTCAATGACCGTAAGAAAGATTCCATAGAGGCTGGAGTGAGGCTGTTCTCAGTAGGGCCGGATGTCAGAATGAGGAGCAATGGTCTCAAGTTGCAGTGGGAGGAGGTCTGAGTTGGATATTAGGACAAACTATTTCCCTAGGAGGGCGAGAAAGCACTGGGATGGGCTCCGTAGGGACATGATGGAGTCTCGATCCATAGAGGTGTTTACATCCCAACTTGACAAAGCCCTGGCTGGGATGATTGAGTTGGGGTTGTTCCTGCTTTGGTCAGGGGGCTGGACTCGATGACTCTGGAGGTCTCTTCCCGCCCAAAGATTCTATGGTTCTAGGATGTCCCTGTTCTGACCCTCGGTTCCTTCCCTGGAGAAATAGGGGGGAAGGTGCATGACCAACGTTTGAGAAGCATTTGCCCAGCACAAAGAGCTCAGGGCTAAGCCAGGCTGGCGGAGGCAGCTGGAGCTTTTAGGATGGGTCCTGTCCCAGTTCCATGTTTTGCCGCTGGGCCCAGCAGTGACGGGCTGGGAGGGAAAGCGGGTTCCCTCTGTTGGGGGCAGTGGCAGGACGGATGGTTTGTCACTGCAGGAGGCAGGACAAGGAGGACGTGCTGGTAGGTGCGTCCACCCTACCTTGTCCTAGAGCTCATATGTCCTGGCTCCCAGCCCCCTGCTGTGACTCACTGCCTCCTCCACTGCGATTGGTAGGGGAGCCCGGGGCTGGCTGTGCCCAGTGAGCCTTATGAACTTCCCTTAAACAGGCTATTTATCAATTGATCCCCAGAGCTGAGAGGTGGGAGATGAGCTGCCTGCACCCCGGGGAAGGAGGGGACCTTCGCAGCTTGGGGTGAGGGCCCCCAGCCTGTCCGAGGTGCGGGTGCCAGGTGCCCTGGCCTTCGGAATCCAGCTAGGCTGCTCTTCACAGTCACTGGGTTGGCTCAGTGCCTGGGGAAAGGCAGGATTCTTGGGTTCTCACAGGCCTCCAGAAGGGAGGTGTGGTCTAGTGGTTACAGCATGGGGGCAGGAGACTGAGAGGACAGATAGTTGGGTTCTCTCTCCCAGCTCTGGGAGGAGGGTGGGGTCTAGTGACTCGAGTGAAGCTGAAATGTCGATTCCTGGGTGGGGTTACCTAGTTCTCATGGGAATTAACACCTCCATCCCTATTTTGACCCCCAAATCACCACTTAGAGCCAAGGAGAGAACCCAGGCATCCTGGCTCCCCCACTCCCCACCCCCACCCTCCAGCCCCTTGACTCCACTTCCTTCCACTTTTGATATTTACAAAACATTTTCTTTTAAATAAAAACCACTTCCCTGTTGTCTGAGCTTCCTGCTTGACCCTGCTCCTCCCACCACAATTACACCCTCCTGTCGCCTTCACGTACTGCTGGATAAACAGGAAACCCAGTTGAAGAAATACAGGAGCTGACTACATAAACTCCAGCCACATAGTGCCAGCTAACGCACCAGGAGACCCAAGCTTGCTCTGGTGCAGGGTTGGGCAATAATTTTTGGTGGGGGGAGACTCCAAGATTTTGGAAAGTGGTCAGGGGCCTCACTCTTCCATGATATTAGTGGAGGTGTGCGGTGTGGAACAGAGGTTGAGTGCAGAACGAAGCTTAGGCTAAGGGATTGGGGTGTAGGAGAGGGGGAGGGTTTGGGAGAAGTAGGTGGTTGTGACCTGGTGCACTGGACTGGGGTGCAAGGGTTTGGATGTGACCTAGGACAGGGGTGTAGGATGCAGGGGTTTGGGTTATGACCTTAGGCAGGATATTGGGGGCAGGATCCGGGAGGGGATATGGGTATTGGAGGGAGACAGAGGGTTTGGCTTATGTGGGGTAGAGGGGCAGGAGTGGGAGGGGCAGAGGGTTGGGAGGAGGGAGGGGCTTGTGTGCCAGAAACAGGCTCTGGCCGGCAGACGTACCTGGGTGACTCCTGGCCAGCAGCCCAGCAGGGTTCTCAGGCACCCTCCCTGCCTACCCCTCCCACACACAGGCTGCAGGGGCCACGTGCATTGGTGAATAAGAGCATGAGAGAAGGTGGAGGAGAGTGGTGCTTTGTGCTCAGCCTGTTCTTCAAACAGGCAGCTCCCGTTGGCCAGGAATTGGCCAATGGGATTGTGCTGGGGACGGGAGCAGTGCGTTTAGCACCGTTCTGGCCTCCCCAGGCTCACAGCTGAGAAAGAGAAAAGGATGCAGCAGCCCCGTTTCTGAGCGGGGTGCAGTGGCGGGGGGGGGGGGGGGGGTGCTACAGAGGCAGCAGCACGGTGTGGCAGGGGACTCCTTGGGAGTGAGGCACACTGGCTGCTGGCTCCGCCCCCAGGGACTCTAGAATAGTCGACTAACTGATGAGAATTCATGAGCTTACTCGACTATTCAATTAATGGACATTTAACATCCCTGGATCTGTCCTCTGTGTCCTTGTAGCTTGCAGAGTAGGTGAGGGAGAGGGAAAGGCCAAGCCATGCGGCCTCTGTCCCCTTCTTGATACCCTTAGCCCGTGTGTTTTGGGGACACTTGCCCAGACGCATCCCGATGGGCTTTGCTGGGTTAGAGGATCCATTGTGGGGGGCGGGGGACCTGTCACTGAATTGTGAATCCCTTGGCTGCAACTACGCCTCCTGCTGACGACTGGTCGGCGAACACCCCTGTAGCCGTGGGAAGGACTCAGGTCAGTCTCCCTGACAACCGCACAGCAAATCATATCCCCGGTGCCCAGAAGGGATGCAGGGACAGAACGACGGGTTTGCGCCGAGCATCCCCTCCCACAGGCTCTCTGACCCGGTAGATTTTCTATGACACGTAACACAGTGAGGTGACAGTGGGGAACACAGGTGCCAGGGTGTTGCTCTGGGATATCAAGGGCCACAGAGGGATGAAGTGGTTTGGAGCAGGAGTACTGGAGCCTGGACTCCAGAGTTCCTGCAGCAGCTGACAAGCCCATTGCTTTTCTAGGAACCAAGAAAATGTGCATGGACATTTCCATCCCGCTGGTTCTCACCGTCTACATCTTCACCTTCGTGATCGGCCTCCCGTCCAACCTCCTGGCCTTCTACACCTTCCTGGTGAAGGTCCGACAGAAACCCACCCCTGTCGACATCCTTCTGCTCAACCTCACCATCTCCGACATCTTGCTCCTCATCTTCCTCCCCTTCAAGATGGTGGAGGCTGCCTCCGGCATGGAGTGGCACTTGCCCAAGTTCCTCTGCCCACTCAGCAGCTTCATCTTCTACAGCACCATCTACATCAGTTCCCTCTTCCTCATGGCCATCAGCGTTGAGCGCTACTTGAGGGTGGCCTTCCCCATCAAGTACAAGCTACGGCACCGGCCAGCCTATGCCATCGCCGCCTCCGTGTTTTTTTGGGTTGTGGCCTGCAGCCACTGCAGCATCGTCTACATTGCCCAGTACAAAGACAACTCGAGCTCTTCATCCAATGGGAAGTTCTACTGCTATGACAATTTCACCAATATACAGGAGAAGGTCGTCCTCCCTTTCCGGCTGGAACTCTTCATCGTCCTCTTCTGCCTCCCCTTCACTATCACCGTCTTCTGCTACGTCAACTTTGTCCGCATCCTGCTGACCTTGTCCAACATCCCTGCCCAGAGGAAGCACCGTGCTGTGGGCCTGGCTGTGGCCACCTTGGTCAACTTCATAGTCTGCTTCGCCCCCTACAACCTGTCCCATGTCGTGGGCTTTGTGCAGCACAAGAGCCCCTGCTGGAGAGTTTACGCTCTTCTCTTCAGCACCCTCAATGCCTCGTTAGACCCTGTCATCTTCTACTTCTCCTCCACCACTGTCCAGCGGGCCTTCGCCAAATGCCTGGCCAGCCGGAGGCACAAACTCAGCGCCTTGACTTGCTGCAGGGAAGTGGACAGCAAGGGGGACATGGCCAGTGAGGACAAGGTTGAGGAATCAATGACATGATTCCCCATTTGTGACCGCCCCTCTGCTTCCCCCGCAGAGTGTTTCTTGTCCCAGCCTCTGCAGCCGGAAGTGATCCTGCCCTTGTGCTGGGATTGCATCTTCTGTCCTTCTCTGCACCTCACGAGAGGGCCGCGGGTCTTGCTGAGACACCAGGATGTGGTGGGGCTTGGAGCTGGTACCCAACTGCCACAGGGCTTAGGCCTACGTGAGCCGCAGGGTCACTGGCCAGGAGTTTGACCAAGGTGAAGTTGGGGTCGCCATGGTGTCAAGGCCCTTCCTTTGCTGCTGGCAAGCCAGCACACATACCTGATTTCTAACAGCTTGACTGGGCGGAGCCCACACTCAAGCTACAGGGAACCCCTCCTTGTTGGCCTTTGTGGAAATGTAGTTCCCACCTCAGTGGGATTGGAACACAAGAGCCTTCGGCCCAGAACACTTCCACCTGAGCTGGGAGCAGTGCTGGCAGCAGTAGTAAGTCTGCTATCTGTCACGTGGATGGGAAGGATTTGGACTGTGGACCTTCCCCATACTGCACTGTACACAAGCAGAATTGCTGGCACCACTTGGTGGCAGTGGTGAGCAGGCTGTTACTGAGCAGGCTCTGAATGCAGAAGGTCAGCGCCACAGCGAAGGACTTGTGGGACCTAAGGGCAGCGTGCCCTTTGCAGCGGCAGTAGGGAGGGTGGGGATGGACATTTCACGGCCTCACCAACAGACACTGGTCTCTGTGGGTCTGTTCCAGGTCTGGCTGTAGAATGGGGATATCCTGCATCTCCTCCCTTCGCTGGTGGGTCTGGTGCCACCCCGGGGCCGTGGCTTTAGCAACCCCTTAAAATACATTATTTGGTGTCCAAGATTATTTTTATATTATTCTTCAGGGCTGGAGTGAGATCTGGTGGATTAGAGTTTGGGGGGCAGGGAGCCGGGAACCCTACTTTGTATCCCCAGCTCTGGGAGGGGAGAGTGTTGCTGATGCCGGGAGCCAGCACGTCTGGGTTCTATCCATGGGAGGTGAGCAGTAGTGTCTCTGTGGGTTTGGCATTAACCAGGGGCAGGGCCTGGCGAAGCCAGGGCATCTGCCAAGGGTATGTGGAGGCACCACCTGGTTGTGGGCCATGAGATGCTGCCAGGGTCCTAACCTTCTTCCCCAGCTGGGGAGCTTCCTCAGAGCAGAAGCCCACCCCGCTAGGGCGGCCCACACTCTGCCTGTGAGAACAAGGAGCCCTGTGGCCTGTGAACACAAGCACATTCATCAGGGTAATGGTCCCCAACCTTTCCGTGGCCAATAGCACATGCATGTTGTCAGAGGAGTGTGGCAGGAGCCAACAATTTGTCAAGGCTTATTTTGTATTTGTACATTAAATAATACAAAAAACATCATATTTAATATTACATAATATATGAATCCATAAGCTAAAAAGGTAATTTTACATGTAAAAGGTATTCACTAAATTATTCTGCAATTACTCTTTCACCTTACCACGTGAATTTGCTCTTTTTTATCTACCTGTAAGAAAAATTAAGGAGTTTTTACAAAATAAATATCATAAACAGTTTTCATCTTATTTATTTTAAAAAAGTAAAACATTATTGAACTGCTGGTCCTTTACTTTAACATAGCTAGCTAGCTATGGTTCATTAAACATATTCTTTGTATTGTTACTTGTATCTGGATTTCAATAAACAAACAAACAAATATGGAAAAAAGTTAAACACAAGTTAATGATACACGCTCACCAGCACTGAATGGAAAACAGATATCATTCATTTATGTGGTTTTTCTAATCGTGGGATTTTTGGCACTGCATTTCTTCAGCCAATTTTTCGTAGTTGGGAGAGTAGTTCCCGTGCTGTGCCCCCCTCCACCAGCCCTTCTCTCCCCCCTGTGCCCACTCCTCCAGTAGCCCCACTCTGATCGTGTGAGCTACCCCTCCTCATCCCCTCTCCTAACACCTCCCTCTACACACCTGCCCTGCCTCTCTCCTCTGGTGTTGGTCCCTCCCCTGCAGGTGTCTGCCCTTCTGCTTCACCCCCAGAATCCCCTGGCATCTGCATCTTCCCTTAGCCCTGCAACCTTCTGATGCCTTCCCCTTCCCTCACTGCCTCTGCCCCCTTTGCCCTCTTTTTCCCTAATGCCCACCCCCTCACCACCCTCTGCCCCCCATTCCCCTCCTGCCCCTCTGTGCCCTCACACATGAGTTGCTTCATCCCTGCCATCTTCATGCCCACCCCTTCTTTCAAACTTTCTCCCAGCACCTCCCCCCTCTAGTCCCCAATGCCCTTCCCCTCTCCTCTCCCAGCATCACCGTGTCCTCCCTCCCACTGACACCTCCCCTCCTGCCCTTTTCCTCATTGTCTCCACTTGCTCCCTCCCCCGGCATTTATCTCTCCTCCACCCTATCCCTTGGCGCCTTCCCCTTCTTCTCCTGACCTGCCCTCCTCTCATCAGCACAAGCCCCTTCCTCTCCCACCCTTTCCCCCTATTCTTCCCCTCCCCTCCTCTACCTTCTGCCTTTCAGTTTGCAGGGCTGGAATCTGCTGCGGTCAGGCCCCAGAAGTCCCCACAGCCTGGGCTACAGACCATGCACTGGACCTGGAGCTGGGCCACTCGGCGTTCACAGCCCTGGCCCATCACAACACGACTGCCCCTCCAGGCGCGCTCACCGCTACACCCCGCTCGGCACATCTCCTTCCTCCTCCTTCTCTGATCCGCAGCTGGCCGTTTTAAAAAATGGTGCCGCAACACCACCCCAATGTGGCACCACCCCCTCCAGCGCGCCACGCATGACCCCACCCCTGGCACAGCCCCGGTTGATGGTGCATGCTCACGCCTCTCGTGGCTGTGCCCGCTTTCCCTTCCCCCAGCCCGGTACCTTCCCCGGCGGGGATCAGCTTGCCGGCCTCCTCGTTGGAGTCCCTCGGCCTAGTGGGGTCTTCTGGCAGAGCCGTAAGTACTGGCAGTGCCCCTACTGGCTCCGGTGCAGGAGTGCGGAGCCTGGTGGCTCCATCGCACCGGGCCAGTCCACCCCTGCATTAGAGTGTGCCTAATGCAGACTAGATGGGGGCACATAAATGCCCCGGTGGGCACCATGCTGGGGACCAAGGCATTAGGGTATTGGGGTGTCAGCTGTCGTGAGCTCCACCTCATGGAAGCTTGTGCCCTAATGTCCTAAGATACTTGTTCAGAGCCACCAGCGACTCCTCTGAAATCCAACTGTGAACCAAACATCTTGCCCTGCCCTTCCCCACCCCTTCCCCATGGTCTCACCCTGTGCTGTCCCTTCTCCCAGTCCCTGCCCCCACTCACTACATCTCCTCTCGCTCTGTCACTCTCACTCTCTCCCCATCACTCACTCGCTCATTTTCAGTGGGCTGGGGTGGGCAGTTGGATGCTAAAGGGAGTGAAGGCTCTGGCAGGGGGTACAGGATTTGTGGTGGGTCCAGGGAGCAGGGGGCTGGGTACAGGAGGTAGTTCTGGACTGGGGCCGAGGGGTTCGGTGTGTAGGAGGGACTCAGGATTGGGGCAGGGGTTAGGGTGCAGGTGGGTTGCCTGCTCCAAGAGAGTTTGGGTGGGGGAGGGGAAGCCCGGGCAGAGGTGCCAACCAGAGCCAGCAGGGTCCCTGTTCGACCGGGCGCTCCGGTCAAATCCCAGATACCTGGCGACCCTCCCACCCACCTGCAGCCCCCTGATCACATCTGCAGCCCTGTCTCCTGGCTCAGGCACCATGGCCTGTCCAGCTCCTGGGGAGGTGGGTGGGTGCAGGTTGGCTCTGCTCTGAATGGGGCTGAGACCCAGCAAAGCTCAGTGCACAGCGAGCTCCCCACTGCAGCTGTAGGAGGTAAATAAACTAACAGAATGAGGTGCAGACACGCACAGTGAGGGTCCCTTCCCGACATTGCGACACAAACAGGCCCCCAGCCCCTCACCCATGGGTAGCAGGGAGGGGAGCCGGGGGGGAGGGAGGAGAGGGAGGATCTCAGGGGTGTTGTGATATCAAGGGTCTGCAAGAGGACAGTGAGGGAGAGAGTCCAGGGCTGGGCTACCAGCGGGACAGTCCAGTGATTCCCAAACTTTTCGACATCACGTTGAGAAACCCTCAAGCCGCAACCCCCCTCTGCCTCCCACCCCAGCAGCAAAACTTGTTGAGCAAAAAAAAAAAGGAACTGACCAGGGAGTTGACAAGGGGGGGCTGGGTCACCTTGCAGCCCCCCTGGAATTTCTTCATGTCCCCCCCCAGTTTGGGACCCCATGGTCTAGTCAGCCCTGCTAGGCGGGAACGCCAGGATCCCTGTTCAACTAGCTGCGCTGGTCAAGAACTGGACACCTGTGTGTGTGCGTGCGTGTGTGTGTGCGTGTGTGTGTACACACATGTGTAGGGATTGGTGGGGCCAGTGGATTTAGGAGGGGAAAGAGGTATGGGATGATTGGGAGGCAGGTGTGTCTGTTTATACACATAGGCTATGTCTACACTCGCGGCTTCTTGCGCGAGTAACATGCAAATGAAGCTAAGCGTGGAATATCGCTGAGCCTCATTTGCATACTTAATGAGCCCCATTTTTTTCAGAAGAGGCTCTTGCGCAAGAAGGAGCATCTACACGGCCCCTTCTTGTGAAAGAAAAACTCTCTTGCGCAACGCCGTTACACCTATAACTTTTCAGGAAGAACGGCATTGCGCAAGAGGGTTTTTCTTGCACAAGAAGGGGCAGTGTAGACGCTCCTTCTTGCGCAAGAGCCTCTTCTGAAAAAAATGGGGCTCATTAAGTATGCAAATGAGGCTCAGCGATATTCCACGCTTAGCTTCATTTGCATGTTACTCGCGCAAGAAGCCGCGAGTGTAGACATAGCCTATGTGTATAAACAGTACAGTACAGGGCTCATCCTCTCCAGCAGGGAGCACAGATGCACACACACATACACACATTTCTTCCAGCAGGACACACACACACACACACACACACACACCCACAGAGTTCTACCAGTAGGGGGCATAGACTCACAC